AAAGACTTTCATCTTCCTCATTTTTACTATTTAAAAAAAAAAAATAATGCACAGTTCTCTTTTAGAAGCTCAGAAACCTCAAATGACTTCAGAAACAAACAGGCAAAAAACAAGTGTGGAGGCAATGTTATGGGCTCTTTTGTCCCAAAGCAAATGGGCTCTTCTTGCACAGTTCACACCTTTTCTTCTGTGTTCTTAATTGAAAAAAAAAAAAAAAAGAGAGAGAGAGAACACTCTCTCCTTGGCAATGTTATAATTCAGTGAATAAATCGAGGAATTAGGAGCAAGTAAAGCTGAGGTTGTTTGCTAAGTCCATCCAGTCTTTTGCAAATTATTTTTATTGATGAATATCTGCAGGAACACTGGGGATGCAGGAGGCTCTGGGGATGCAGGAGACTCTGGGGATGCAGGAGGCTCTGGGGATGCTCCAGGGATGCAGGAGGCTCTGGGGATGCTCCAGGGATGCAGGAGGCTCTGGGGATGCAAGCGGCTTTGGGAATTCAGGATGCTCCAGGGATGCAGGGGGCTCTGGGGATGCTCCAGGGATGCAGGAGGCTCTGGGGATGCAGGAGCAGGCAGGAGGGGCCGGGTCCCACAGGACCCTCCAGGCAGGAGCAGGGAATCTTCTCATGGATGCCTTCTCACAGCCTCCGGCAATCAATGGCTAAGGAAATTCCTGGATTTCAGAATCCCTGCATCCAAAACAACACACCAGAACCCACCTGGACCTGCCCACCACACAACACTCTCCTCTTGTTTAAACTTCTGGCCTTTGCATCATCCCATGGGCGTTTTGTGGCTGCTTGTTCCAAGGGGTTTGGTGTTTGGGGGCAGCTGAACTCGAGCTTAGGTCTTGGAAAAGGCAAATCATGACAGGGAAAAGAAAGAGTTAGTGAGAATCTGACAAGAAGATAGTGTTCCTGCTTTGGGGTTTTTGTCCTACTGTTGTATTTCAGAGGAATATTCCATTCCTCTGGAAGATGCCCAGAGGTGGTGCTGTCTTTGAAACGCTTCTGGCTCACTTCAGCCTGAGGCTTTTAACTTGCTTATCCCTGCTTATCTAGTCCTTTGATTCACACTTTCCTGAAAGGAGTGGAGGCAGATAATTATTAACTTTCTTCTGTAACAGATCAGTGAACACAAGAAAAAGAGCATGACTGGGTTTCTCTGGTCTGCTCACTCCTGAAATGAGGTGTCCTTGCCCTGCCAGTTGTGAGGAGGGGAAGGCAGGGAGCTGTTAACTGCCAAAAGCCATTAGATCACTTAGGTATGATTAACTTTTCTCAGAAATACCCAATTCTTCCCCCAGAAGCCTCTGTGCTGCTGGTGAAGAGGCACCAGAAACTGGTACATGTATGAAGATGCAGAGAGTAAGTTACTCCCTGCCTACACGTGTGCTGGGCAGGAACTTTTGCTTTGCAGTTCCAGGCGACCAAAAAATGTTCTTTCACCACGAGGGTTTGGCCAGGGCAGGTTTGCTCAGCTTTGCCAATGGTCCCCAAAGCCTTCCCAACGCTCCCTAAAGCCTTCCCAATGCTCCCTAAAGCCTTCCCAGCCTCTGCTTTGCTCTCATCCATCCCTGGGCAGTGGCTGCTCCCCCGGCATGAGCCAGACCCGTGTGGGCAGGAGCTGCCCTGGTCCTTTGTCCAGCCTGGTTTAACCACCCTCAGGGTCATGTCTCTGCTCTTCTCTCCTCCTCGGGGCAAATGTCCTGCTTCCAAATATTTCTCACTGTCAGAAGCTTTCCCAGGTGTACCTGGGGGGATTCACTGTTCCTGCAGCTGCTCGTACCTTGCTTACAATTAGCTGCTGATTCTCAGGCAGATTCAGATAAACTGAGTGGGATTTACCTGTCCAAACTCACCCACCCTTCTGCCACAGCACAGCCCAGGTGCCCAGCCCAGGACACCTGAACCACGATTTAAAAACATCTGTTTCTTTCCCTTTGCTATTGAGGGAGCCTGAACAGCTCACCAGGTGTCGAGGGATGAATCCCACTCCCTGGGCTTAATCTAAGGAGGAAGATTGTCAAAACTCATGGGCTGCCATCCCCTGCCATCAACAGACCCCTTCCCTCCTTCATTCCCATGGAGCAATTCCCCTTTCCACCTGTCCCTGGGTCCTGCAGGACAGGGACAGCAGCAAACCAGCACCTCCCAGGCTGAGGGACGTGGGGGCTGACACGGGGCTTTATGGCCAGGCTGACTCATTTGCTGTGCTGGGGTTTTGGTATATTTTTATAAACAAGGTTTCTAGTGCAACTGGTTGTGGGGATTTTTGGGAGGGTTTTTTTTTTTCCCCTTAATATTTTGAGGAACAAAACCTTTAAGAACTTTTAAGAAAATACCCAGAGCAGCCAACTGCCAGGGGGTGTGAAAAAAGAAACAAAAAGTAAGGAAATGTACCTAAACTGGCTGATAAACTGCAGAGCACAGCTCATGTCTTCTCATTTGCTTCTGCCCAGTGCCCCAGGCCCCAAGAGAACTGAGGGTAGACCAAGGTTCTTGTCCAGTCTCACTGAAACCAGTGGCACAGACGAGCTCAAACTGGTGTGTGAGGAGAGGGAGGCTGCAGGGCCTCTGGGCTTGAGCCTTTGCAAATGTGTAACCTGAGGTGGGGGCACAGCAAGAGGGGGAGAGACAGCACAGGCTTTCTTCATATTGAAAAGTCATTTGACATTTAAGACACTTGAAACAGCAACTGAGAGGGGGAGGGAAAACTGTGATGATCTTCAAAGGAATGATATGGGCTGAACTGTTCCAGGAGTTGGTTGAGTCACGTTTTCAGTCCTGTTTTGTTAGACCTTCACTAGGTGATAAGAAAACAGAACACAACAGAGCAGAGCAGCCCTCACCAGGGCTGGGCACTGCCACTGCTCGTGTTCAGCCAGGGCTGGGCCTGGGGTTTGCAAACCAAGCCATGGAGAGCAGCTGGTGGAGTTGGGTTTAGGTCGGTGCTTTCCTCCCTGGAATGAGGGTGGTTCTCCTCTGCCTCCTTTTATCCAGCTGCCAGGGAGGTAATTGCATTTCAGGCCTCAGTCCCTGCCTGGTGGGGCTGAGCTGGGCCAGCACAGGTTATCACCCACCCACAGGGATTTATCATCCATCCACAGACAGCCACAGCATTAACCCCAGGAGTCCCCAAGGATCCAGGCTATTCAGGAGGAGCAACAGAAGAATAAAGACTCCCATGGCTGGGTTTTTGCAGAGATCAGGGAAACCCTGTGCCCGTTTCCCAGCAGGGAGAGCAGCTACAGTCTGGGCTTGCTTAAATCACTCAGCAGGTCCCAGTCCTTGGGCCTTTCCTTGTATTTCTTGTGTAACGTGCAAAGTCAGAGCAGCAGCTCGAGGGGGAGACAACCACACCAGACACCAAACCTCTTCCTGCAGTCTGGGACTGCTCAGAGTGAAAGCCACTGGCCAGAGAGAACAGACAGACAGAAGCTCCCCTGTCTCCCCTCAGGCCCAGCCTTGCTCTCCCCCCCTCCTGACTAACCCGCACTGAGGGTGCCCTGGTGAACCCCTCAGGTCCCCCCAGGAGGATCTGGAGAAGGTGAGGGGTGGGTGAACACAACCAACTGCATGAGTGTAAAAGATGAAAATGGGGGGGAAGGTGAGACACAACTGCTAGGGGATGTTGGGGAAGGCTGTTACACAGACCTGGGGATGAGCAGCGTGAGTTTTCACACGTGGCTGAGGATCTCTCACCCACACATCACCCGTCGTGTATAAACAAACACCCCCAGTCCAGATACTGAGTAACTCTGTCTGTTATTAGTGATGCTGTTGCGTGTGATTTGATGTGGGGACATGGTGCAATGGGTGCAGTTACCTGAATAGTGCAAGTTCAACATCCTGGTCCTGGTGCAACACCTGAGCAGGAGCCTGACAGAGCAGGGAAGGGCACAGAGGAGCTCTGAAACAGCAGAGCTGTGTCCAGCAGACACTAAGCATGAGAGGGGCACAGGAATCAGTCACATTCATGAACAACCAGGCCATGAGGAGCAAGGCAGAGTTCCTAGAAGAAACAGGCAACTGAAAGCCAAAGGCAGATATCCCACAGATATCCCACAGGGAGAGAGGGGCTGCAGTGTGGGGAGCAGCCAGGGCCTGGAGGGACATCCTGGGGCAGCAGCACGACACTCCACAGCCAATGCCACTGTCCCTCAGGGAGGGACTCTTCTCCTGCTCACACCAGAGCAGAGCCCGGGGCTCTCTCACTGTCACCTTCCAGCTGAGCAAACTTTCAGTGGCAACTGCTCGAGGTAGATGCTGGTACAAGCTTTAAATAGAGAGAGGAGAAAGCTGTCCTGGTCCCTGCCCTGCAAACCACAGCAGGAAGAGCTGCTCGGCTGAGATTGCTCTCACCACCATCACACCTGGCTCTGAATTCAGTTCTTCCTCCCAGCTGTCAGCGTCCTGTACTCCACATCCCAAGGCAGCAGAAGCCAACTCTGACATTTAGAGAGGAGCAATAAATTTCAGGCAGTTCCAGTTCCATCTGTCCCAGGGGGGAGCTGGCACTGCAGGGGCACAGCTGGGCTGGATTTATGGCTCTCACAGCTGGCTGTTTTCACGTGGGTTAAGCTGCACAGGCACAGGGGACAGGCTGCTGGCTGCCTGCAGGGAAAAGTAATGGATGAAATCAAAATGGGTGAGCTGTGCACAAGTGTCCTCAGCTCTCAGCCTTCACTGGACAGGGCTCTGAGCAACCTGGTCTTGTTGAAGACATCCCTGCTCACTGCAGGGGGTTGGACTGAATGACCTTTAAAGGTCTCTTCCAACCCAGACTGTTCCCTGGTTCTGTGAAGCTGGAGGGAGCAGACTCATGAGACTTCATCCGTGCTCTGACAGTAACTTGTGTGACCCTGGGTTATCCTGTTGGCATCTTCACCAGGTTTTGATTTCCCCAGCTGTGGGGGCTCTGTTTTTTCGAACTGAGAACCACGTGGAAAGCCCCACTGAGCCACTAACTCAGCATCTCCTTCTTTCCTAGGCAAGAAGCTAAAGGTCACCCTTGTTTTCAGCCTGCCGCTCGTTTTTCAGGTAAGATGTTTTTAACAACATTTTGAAATCCAGCTGCTCTGTGTTGTGGCTAAAGAGAGATCTCAAAAACTCAGAGCAGCCACCCACAGCCCCAGAGGTGTGTGGGGACAGGGCTGCTCACCCCAGGATCCAGCCGTGGGAGGTGGGAGGTGAGAGCAGAGCCCTGCTAGAGAAACACAAACAGGAGGAACAAAACCAAGGAGGGAAAAACAGTGGCACAAACGCTGTGATTTTCAAATGGCTGTGGCTGTGAGAGTCCCCTGTCAGCCCCAAAATGAGCATTTCCAGGACAGACAGGAGCACCCTATGCTGACAGTGGGGAGCAGTTGGTTCCCTGCTCCCTGCAAATCCCTGGTCAAGGTGCCAGGCTCCGACCAAGGGCTGTGCTGGAGAGGGATGTGCCCAAGGAGGAAGAGCCCAGCATCTTCCTCTGCCCATTCCTGCTCAGAGTCACCCTGATCAGGAAGGAGAACCCCAAGCACGGAGCTGTGCCATGACCTGCTCCCAGACTGGGGCCTGGCCCTGGTGCCTGCAGTCCCAGGCAGCACCAGCCCCCCCAGGCCCTTGGGGCTCCCTGAGGCTCAGGCAGAGCCGAGCAGCCCGTTCTTTTCCCTTTCACTGCTGGGAGGATGTGGTGAAACCAAACCTGCCGAGATGGCGAGCACAGAGATGCTCGTGATAACGGGGGGGTATCCAGGGGAAACCTTTCATCTCTGTGAGATGGGGAGAAGGTTCTGGAGACTAATAAGTCACAGAAAGCAGGGCACAGATACCACAGGCTCCCTCTGCCCCACAGCTTATGGCAGTGTAGGAAGATGAAACAAGAATAATCAGAACTGAAATCAGGGGCCTGAAGGAGACGCCGGTACCACGTCTGCGCCGGCACAGAGCAGCTTCCTGCTGCACTCACTGCATTTCCTCACCGTCCCACTGCCACCTCTGTTCATTTTTGATTTAGCTGAAGGATGTTTTATTTCTCACATTTGACCCACCAGCCAGCTGTGTACACACAGCTGGAGGCGGGCCCTGGAACACTCTGGAAAGCTGCCACACGTCTGAGGGTTTTGCAGGTGTTACTTTGGCTGAGCACTGAACATTTCTGGTGGAATTCCCACTTGGAGCCCCCCAAAAAGCCCCAAACCCCCCCACACACTTGTGGGAAATGTTTTCAGCCACAAGGCCATGCCAGCTCTGTTTGTGATGCTGGCACAAGCCAGCTCTTGGGAACTCCCTGAGGCTCCTCTCCAGGCTCCCTTCCCGGCACGGCCACGCAGGCACCCGGTCCCATCCCAACACTCGTCTCTTCTCTCCTGTTGTAGTTCTGTGCCGGGGACAACGTCACCGATGACTACGACTCCAACAGCACCATCGACTACAACCTGTTTGAGACCCTGTGTGAGAAGAAGGAGGTGCGCTCGTTCCGCGCCGCCTTCCTGCCGGCCATGTACAGCCTCATCTGCTTCACGGGGCTGCTGGGCAACGGGCTGGTGATGCTCACCTACATCTACTTCAAGAGGCTGAAGACCATGACGGACATCTACCTGCTGAACCTGGCTCTGGCAGACATCCTCTTCCTGCTGACCCTGCCCTTCTGGGCCGCCAGCGCGGCCACGCACTGGCTCTTCGGGAAGTTTGCCTGCAAGGCCGTTTACTGCATCTGCAAAATGAGTTTCTTCAGCGGGATGCTGCTCCTGCTGTCCATCAGCATCGACAGGTACTTCGCCATCGTCCAGGCGGCCTCGGCCCACCGCCTGCGGCCCCGCATGATATTCATCAGCAAGGTGACCTGCGTCATCATCTGGCTCCTGGCCTTCATCCTCTCCATCCCCGAGCTGGTTCACAGCGGCGTGAACAACCTGGAGACCCACCCTCGTTGTTCCATCATCGCTCATGACCTGCAGACCTTCAACACCGGCATCAAAGTGTCGCAAATGGTGTTCGGCTTCTTAATTCCCCTGCTGGTCATGTCTTTCTGCTACCTCGTCATCATCAGAACGTTACTCCAGGCCCGCAACTTTGAGAAGAACAAAGCCATCAAGGTCATCATCGCCGTGGTCATTGTCTTCGTCGTCTTCCAGCTGCCCTACAATGGTGTCATGCTGGCCAAGACCATCTCGGCCTTCAACCAGACCAGCTCGTGTGAGGAGAGCAAGAAGCTGGACGTGGCGGACGACGTGACCTACACCCTGGCGTGCTTCCGATGCTGCCTCAACCCCTTCCTCTACGCCTTCATCGGCGTCAAATTCCGCACCGACCTCTTCAAGCTGCTGAAGGAGCTGGGCTGCCTGAGCCAGGAGCGCCTCTGGCAGCTCACCAGCTGCCGCGAGAGCAAGAGGTTCTCCTTCGCCATGGAGACAGAGACAACCACCACCTTCTCCCCGTGAGCCGAGCCCCAGGCACGCTGGGGCCAAGCTGGAATGGTTCTGAACACTTCCTCTATTCTGAACTCCCGGCAGAGCAAAGCCTGCCAAGCTGCAGGGAAGGCGAGAGGAAAACCCAGGAGTCTCCCCCTGGGGAGAAAATCCAATAGAATTGTCACTAAGAGCAAAGCAAGGGAGAGGTGGTGAGTGTACAATTTCTCCTGCCGTTTCACCTTTAGTTTAGTCTTTCCCAGTCAAAATCAGAAATGCCCAAAATAGAACATTTTCCCTAAAAGCAACAAATACCCAGAGAAACAGACACTGGTGCAGCAGAAATGTTTGGTTTGGAGCTGAGCTTCCAGGAGCATCACCCTTGCTTTGGATGTCACTTTTAACAAGACAACCCGTTGCTCTGCAGCCCTACAGAAATGCCCCTTGCACCGAGTCAGTCCAAGGCAAACCAGCACCCACAGCCTTTGCCTCACCCTCGATCCAACACACAACACCAGCTGTGGAGCACCCAAGCACATGGCTCTACTCTGCCTTCCCCCATCAGAAGCCAGAAATGTCTATAACTAATAACAAATCCATACAAATTGTAGCCACAATTTCAATTACTTTGTACAACACTGTGGCCACTCGTAGGTTTGTCGGGAAAAGCACAAATCCCACTTCACTTCTGCCTGTATCCTGTTTCCGTGCTATCACCTGCTGGCTCCAAGAGACAAACATGAGGGTGGGTTTTCTCCTTCCCCTCCCAACCAATGTGTCCTTCTAGCAGGACTTCAGCTGCCTTTGAGGTCAGATCTGTGTTTCACTCATAAGCTACTGGGACGTGTTTTGCCTCGGTGCTGTCGGCACCAACTAAGACGCCGCTCGCCGGGGTTTGATCTAAACACAAAGGACAGTCATGTGTGGAAAATCCCTGCCAGGGCCACGGCAGCTGAACAGCAGATTGCCATGGAAAGTCTGTCATGGAAAGTCAGACCTTGGAAGAGGCCGGGCTGTAATTCCAGTTGGCGCTTTCACGGGAAGAGCGAAGATTCCTGCTGACAGATGACCACCCTGGGAAGCGCCGCCGCCGTGGGACAGCTGCACGTCAGGGGGAGCTGCTGCAGGGCCTGTGCAGCTGTTCCTGCCCTTGTCCTGGGGGCTCTGATCCCACAGCTCTCCCACAGCCACTGGAGAGAGCTCTCAGCCAGGAGCCTCTCCCAGGGCTGGCGGGGGAAGCCTGTCCACGTTCCCCTGGACACACAGGGCCTTGTGCAGCAAAACACTCACTAAACAGACATTCATCCTCTTTTTCAACACACAGATCCATCGGCAGTGACACAGGGAACTCCGTGGACTGCAGGTTGGAAAGCATTGCCTTAGGGACACAGGGACTAAAATCAGCCTTACAGACCTGCCTGCCACCATAACTAAATCAGTTCTTCACAAACCATTTGGATCTGGGGTATGGCATTTTGCCAGGGGCTGGGATTTGGGAAGAAAGGATGTTCTGCTCCCTGTTACCTGTCTGTGTTGAACTGCTGAACTCCTTTTCTTTTACAATGCTCAGGTGACTGCACAGAAGTGCTGCTTCTCTGTCACATGGAGCAGGGGGTGACAGCTGACACTGAACAGTCATTTGTCCTTGGTTTGTTCCTTGTCCTCACTCGAGCAAGACACAGCTCCTGAGAGCTTGGCCAGAGCAAGGGACAGGCCCAGCACAGGGGCTTTGCAGTTTTCCTCATCAGTAACAATAAATTCTTAACGAATATTCAATATGTAAAGCTGCTTTACACAGACAAAGCTCAATCTGTTCATGAATGTACCCTGAGAACACACTGCTGCCACAGAACCTTTCATGCAGAATCCATTCACCTGATCCAGCGAGGAAACTGCTCCACCAGCACACGGAGCTGGACTTGTCTCCTGTTGACAAAAGCCATTCCCCTCCTGCAAATGGAGAGGTCTCCAGGTCTCTATGGGCCACAGGACAACACGCAGCTGCTTCCAAAAAGAGATCCAAGGGCATCATGTGGGACAGCTGGTGCCTCAGTGAGGCAGTGGCAATGCCAGTGAGCAGCTTTCCTTGTTTAAATTTAATGGACAGAACAAATTTGCATCTGATTTAGATGAGTCATGTTAACATCGGCCTAAGATCCCAACTCAAGGCTCCCCACTGATGTCTGAAAACTGACTGTATTTTGCTATTTGTGAAAAAATAAATTATAATGATTTAAATAAAATATCTTTAGTTTTCCATTGCATTTTCTCCATCCTTCTACAGTCCCTGTCACCTCCTTTTTGTCCTGTCAGGAGCTGTTTGATCAGCTCAGCCTCGTACCGGTGCTGCCCTGCAGGAAAGGAAGCATGTAAAATAAACTAAATAGAAATAAGTTGGTTTACTCTGATGGATTATACTGGAAACAAGTCACCAGCAGGTTAAGGAGTCTTTATTTTAACTATTAACCCACCTGCCTTAACGCTGCTCCACAGCTGGATATACGTGATGGCTGCTCACCAATGATTAAGGGAAAAGCCTTTGTGCTGTATCATTTTATTGTTCACTTTTAAATTAAAATTCAGCAGTAAAACACTGTTACTGTGGGAATTGCCACAGGGAGAGGCAGCAACCACAGCTCTGGGGGGATGCAACCCCCCCACAGCCAGAGTGAGAGTAGGAACTGCGACTAAAACAGGCCAGTGTGGCTCCATCAACGTGCACACAACGTTCCTTCCCGACCCACTTGTGCCTCCAGGCACTCAGGGATGACCCACATCCTTTACAGAAAGGGTCTTGTGAATTGCTACCACAGAGTTGAAGAGGAAGGACCTCAGAGAACAGGAGCAGACACGAATCCTGACAGGTGAGTGCCAGGGCTGAGGCCCATTTCTGCTTTCACTGAGCGACAACGACTCACGGTTTCTCCCGAAAGAGAAAGCACGAGGTGAGTTTCAGCATCTGGCCCAGAGGTTCAAGAAGAAAAGGGCCGCAGGTTTGCCATAAACTACATAAAAGTAGAAGAGACAGCAGCCACCCAGTCAGTTGTGTGGAGTCTGGGTGGTTCCTGCAGTCCCTTTTCCACGTTATTGGGGGAAATCTTCATCACTTGGACTCCTCGTTGCTCTGGGTAAGCGTTGCTGCTGGACATTCCTCCTTCCCTGACAGTTCCTTATCTGTGCACATGGATGTTTTTAAGTTATGGCTTGAAAGCCCTTAGTGCCAAGTGGATCTGGGCTGGGTGAGAGGTAAACTGGAACAAGGAGGTGGTGAACTGGAACTGGGGGAGTTGGCAGTTGCTCCCACCCATCCCAGAGCAGGCACTGGTGTGTCCCCCTCCCTCCTTGTGCTGTCCCAGGTGCTGCTGCTCCCCATCATTTTACTGCTGAATGACCTGATTGATGGGAAAGGGAAGGGGAAAGTTCTCCAGGCAGGGCTGTGGTTTCTGATGTGCCTCCTGGGCAGCTGCGGGAGGGAAGTCCTTGTCACCCTAAGAAAGAATGAGCTGGAGATGAGAGAGGCAAACCAACCCTAAAAATACTGCCCGTGGGTGATGAGGAAGGGTGGTGGCAGGGCTGCAGCATCAGAATAGCTGAGAGGGGGCCATGGCTTCCTCCCCACTGCTCCTTTTACAGGGAAAAATAACCCCCACTCCTGTTCTGGGGTGGAGGTGTCACACCTCAGGGGAGAACTTCTTGTACAGCTGCCCTCCTCCCCAGCTTGCAGAGCTGCCTCCCCCAGAGGGGACAGTGGTGGGGGGGTTCTGTCCATCCCAGTGTCACTGTAAGATGGATCTGGGGAAAGTGAAGGCAGCTGAGATCTCACCTGCCCCTTGTCTGTGTCATCATAAGCAGCTTCATGAGCTCAAAGCAAGTAAATCAAAGGGTCTGACCAGGACTTCTTATGGATTAGAAGGTGGCAGGGTCAGCTCAGAGCCAGCCGTTGGCAAGAACACACAGCCAGATTATGAGGAAAAATAACTAGAAATAACAGCACCGTGCTGCATTTAATGACAGCAGCACAATCCACTCCTAGTCCACCTTACAGCCCGTCCTGCTCCTTCCCCAAGCACTAAAACAAGGCAAAACGTCCCTTTGCAGAGCACTGACCTGGCTCTGTGCTCACACCATGCGTGGGAGCCCTCCCGGCCTCTCGCGAAACAAAACACGACTTCACGTGCTCGAGTTTGGTGGAAATCGCCCCTTTCCCAGCCCGGCTCTGACAGCTGCCGACCTGCCTCCACCCAGAGCCACTCCTCACGTCCACTGAGCCCCCGGCTCTGCACGGCTGAGTGTTACCCGGGCACGGGAGTCGAACCTCGGTATTAAACCACCACCTGTCGCTGCCACAGCTTGTTGCAAAAGCCTCGTTCAGGTCTGAGCAGGGAGGGAGCCTTTGGGCTCACCTGCTCCACGTGCAGGACGGCTGCAGAGCCACCTCAGGCACAGCTCTGTCGCTGCTGAGCCCGTGCAGCTCCTCCGTGTGCGCGCAGGAACCGAAACTTCCCTTCCTGCTGCTTTGTTTTTAGTTCAATTGTCTAAAATAAGATAACGAGCAGAGAGTTACTTTCCTTTCTGTGCTGCTGAGAGCCCGGCACAAAACTAATTGTTGGGTGACTTTGGGCTTTACTGGGAAACCCGTGTGAATGCAGGGCAGTTCTGCAGGAGAATCATCCTGCAGGGCAGGAACAGGCCAAGTGTTCCCAGTGGAATGGACAAAAAGGCCTTCCAGGATTTGGAGTCTGCCCGTGCTGCCCCGTACCAAAATCAGACCTTCTCCCACCGATTTCCAGCTCCTGCATCCTGCAGGTTTTCCCCACAGCTTTGTGCCTTCTCCTGAGAGAATCTCCCATCTCCATGTGAAGCTCAGCGAGCAGACACACGTGTCCAGGTGTGCACACGTGTCCAGGTGTGCACACGTGTCCCAGCAGCCCTGGTTTCATACTCTGGGGCTACAACAGCAGAATCCAACCCTGCCGGGGCAAAACCCAACCGCCAGAGCTGCACAAATAGAAACTCATGTTTTCAGGGGAGAG